ATTACAGAAGCGGTTTCTTGGTGGGCACGTACAACCTCCCCCCAAGTGCTTTTTCTTCTGCCAAAGAAGGGCCACGATATGTATATATAAGCCATGATCACGACATGGACATATATATATATATATATATATGTACGTATATATATCTTCTTGTCCTCCATGAATACACAGTTGAAAGTTGACGATGAATAAGTTCATTTTAATCGAGGAATGAGTGCGTTGGGACAAGAAAGAGAGCGTTGATTACGGTACTTGTACTAGACGGTTGGCTTATGCTAAGGTATTGGACGCTTTTATGTATGTTGAATTTTTAATAGAAAATGAATTAGCTTTTTTGTATTCCATTGGCTATGGGAGGATTGGTAATTTGTTTCTTGATGAGGAGGCGATTGGCTCACTTAATGAGCTACTTAGCCAGTGTCTTTCAAATTAATACAATCAATCTTAATGTAAACGTGAAACAATCAACACTTAATTGTTGGTATATTAAAATGATCATCATCATGTTAATATATTTCAAAAATTTTATATTGATAAATTTAAATTCAATTTTCACATGAAATAATTAAAATCTGATTAAAGATAATTAACTTTGTCATGCGTAACCAATTTAACATTTTATATAGACAATTAAATGCGGACGTGGTTGAATTATGAATAGTATAATTGGCATCCTAGTTATACGTATAGTAACCAAATGCTAGTAGTAAAGTGACAGAGAATAAATCTAATTAATTACATGTAAAGTAAGGGCTATCAAAAGTATTGATGACGTTGTTTCATAAAAAATTTGATGATTTAATGGGTATAATTAACACTTCATGACTTAAACGGAAAGGGACCATAAAATTTATCCCATTCCATACAAAGCTTTAGAATTATTGCCATTTATTAAATTTAAGGTAAAATATTCTAATATTTTTAAGTTTTGATATAAATTTATACGTAGATTTATTAATTTTTGAATAAACACTTAATCTTAAAAAAATATTTTTTATTAAATACATAGATCCAATCATAAATTAATTATTAATATTTTTATCAACTTATTAACGTAATAAAGATAAAATGATAATTTTATTATTTTTTTATTAATTAAAAAAAATTCTCCATTAGGGAGTACCTGTTTGTAGTCCCCTTTATGGGAGAGTTGAAAAGCTCCGATTGGTGTTTTTTATTTTTTTAAAATATAATAATAATTTTTTAAATTAATAAAAAAATTATAATATTTTATTATTTTTGTTAATGAATTTTTTAATTTTAAGGAGGAGTATATATTTAGAAAATTAATAAATTTTTATATAATTTTGATTAAAATTTAAAAATTTAAAAATTTAAAATATTTTATCTTAAAATTTATATTACATTCTAAACTTTGGAAAAAAAATAATAAACTAAAATAAAAAAAATGTTTTTCCCGCCAAAAGAGAGGGGTGGGATTGGGAAAGCAAGGAAGTCACGCGCATATGGTAGGCATGCAAGTGAGAGTGAAGTAGGGCCTACTACCCACTAATTCCCAATCACAACACCCTAATCTTCTTTCTTTTCATATGAACACAAAGAATCTTTTAGGTAATAGGTTCTAGAATTCCTAGGGCCTAGAGCTTAATTTGATTTATCCTTAAATTATATATATATATAAAGGAAAACTCATTGATTAATAAAGTAGTATCTGATTTGATGGTTAATTTAACATGTTTAAGGTTATATTTTTTTCACCTAACAAATTAATTAAGTAAGATAGTAATAATAAAGGTGTTATCAAACAAAAATAATAAAAATCATTATTAATACTTTTTTGTTACGTGTTACAATTATATACTAATTTTTTGTTACTCTTTAATATAATAAAATTAAGCAACATAATGACAAAAATAGGTAATGTAAAGCAAAAGTAATAGACTTCCTTATTACAAATTGTTATTTAGGTGTTATAATTTTTGGTTATGTATTAATTTTTTTTTCGTGTTAAACAATTTGTTACTCAGTCCTGTAATAAATTAAGTAATACAGTAATAAAATTAAGTAATGTTAAATAAAAGTGATAAAATTCCATGTTATTAACTTTTTATTGATATTCATGGAATGAATTAAGTAACATAAAAATAAAAATAAATAATGTAAAATAAAAATGATTAAACTAGTAAAATACACCTTAATACTTTTCTTCTTATAACATTTAAGAATAAAAGGGGGTTTAAATTAATAATTAGAGAAAAAAAATCTGTCCAAGAATAATTAGAGGGAAATTAAAAAGAAAAAAAAAAGGAAGAAGGAGAAGAAGGAAGGCATTAATTGAGCCAAACGTGTGACTTGGAAAAAATAAAAATTCAATGAGCCAATAATGGTTGCCTCGCTTTCACGGGATGTCCCCACCAAACTCCAAAATCTCTTTTCCACGCTCTGCTTTCAACTTTTATTTTATAGTTTCTTATTTTTTATCAAACTTGAAAAGCCCCCGGCTTTATGACAACGAGGACCGCTAATTGCTGCACGCCCCACACCCTTTAATGGCGCGTCGGTCCACATCCGTGTATTTATATATCTATCCAGTTTTAATAGTTTCAACATTTGAATCACTGCATTCCATGGGTTTATTAATAATAATAAGCGAAAAAAAAGGTGTATTTTTCATGCACTTCAAAAAATACCATTTAATCCTAACATATTTTGTTTGAATAAATTTAACATTTTATATTTTAATCACTGAATTATTATGATATATTTCTTATCTCGATTTTTGTATAGTTATATCGTAATCCTTTTTAAGATTGAAATTCTTCAAAAAGTTATTCAATCATTTATTTAACTTATCTTGATAGTATTTATTTTCATTTCAACAATATATTAAGATAAAAAATCACTTTTAAGTCTAAAATAAAATTTACATTTTATTTGTATTTAAAAAAACTTTAAGATAATAAATTTTGTAATATGTGTCGAGAAAATCATTATAACTCTCTTATAAAATAAAGGTACAGATTTAAGAAAAACATGTGCAAACTTATTAGTCAAAAGGGATTCATTGGAAGAATAATTTTTCGACTCTTTTATTATTTTTATTCTTTGTTAATCAAGGTTATGTATAATTAAAGCTTGTCAATACTAATTGTAAATATCAACAGAAATAACAAAATTATTTGATACTGTAACGTTATCATGCATTCATCTAAAATAATAAGAGATTTTCACATTGAATCCGGTTTGGAATGGTCAAACATGTAATTAAAATAAGTTAATGGCCAAGAAAAAAAAATAGAAAGTGGAGCGTGCACGGCACGCGTAACATTCGGACTTTTGCTGCTCTTATCTGTTAGAACCAAATCATCGGGCGGGAAAGGGAATCCAATGCTTCCAGCCGACTTTTTAGCTTTCAAAATCGGCGACTTTTACAAGCGTCGGGCCGGCGGGATCGCAAATCTGGTGTCGTTTAAGGTGCTACCTTTTTGTGTTTGACCTCTACTTCTTATGTCCATTGTGTTAGTACATATACAGTAACTTTAATTTTGTCTCTACCAACCCATAAAATGTAAGGGTGAATAAAAACAATAAATTATTAATTAATTCAATATAGCTAAAATATTTACATTTAATATATTGTTGCATATATAAATAGGTAAAATATTGAAGGTAACAACTATAAGTATTTATCTACAATGAAGAAAGTGGCACAAAATTGAGGTTAATCATAGTTTATATAATCTATCTATATATATATATATATATATTGCTTCAAATAGTAGTGGTTCATGGGTCAACCATGTTCCAATTTTGTAAAAAAGGATTGGAGATAATCTTGATGGCAATCATGTTATCTTGAAATTAAAATCTTGATGACTTATATTTTTTTTTAATAAAAGAATAAAAAAGGTTAAAAGGTACCCATCATTTTGGTTGGGGGATTGGTGTGATTATGGTAAGAAGTAAGGAGGCACCCGTGAAGGTGTACCTCTTTGCTTGATTGTTCAATTTACCTTGAAAAACAAAAGATGAGAAGGAAATAAATTATATTTATACATAAGAAAAGGTTGTGACAGTCAAGCACTTTAAAGGAAAATAAAATTATACTCACTCAATAATGAGTATTAAAAGGAACCTTGGAATAATCATATTTTATTCTCCCTGGCATGTGAAAAAACATAACATTTAAGTTTTTTTGTATTGCTTATTTATCAAAGCAATAAACAACAAGGCACACGCCCGCACGTGAACGAGTAAGGTTTTGTTTGAACCTTTCACTAATCCCAATATGCATGCAATAAAACTCCAATTAAGCAAGCATCATTAGCCTCTATAATCTCAATGCATTAATATAATAATCAAGTCCCTTAACTCTCTTGAATTAAAGGAAAACAAACCATTCATTCTATATTCTTTTAATTGAACCCCCTTTTTGGCCAAGTTGCTAGCTGTGGAACTGCAGATAGTTTGATAAAATAATGTTAAACATGAGCAACTGACAATTAAATCGTGTGTATTTTGAACGTATGAAGGAGGAAAAAAAAAAAATTCTCAATCTTATATTTTATCATAACTAGCTAAAAAGGATAACATTGATCAAGTCAAAAATTTTATTAATCTTAATTATTTATTAAAGAATTTTATGCATCTTAATTACTAGCAATCATTAGGTCAATAGGGTAATATTTCTAGATATAGCAAATCATAGTTTTATATTGTTCTTGGCTATCGGAACTGGAGATTTTTAATCTTAAAAGTCATAAAACAAAATCCTGGGGTTGTTTGCTTGGACTGAAACCTTCCAAGAGAAATTCCTCTGAACTGTATTTAAAATAATTAAAAAAAAAAACAAATACCCCCAAATATAAAAATTTATCAGTTTTTACTTTTTTGAATAATATGCAGAGACAAAATGAATCTAGCGATGACCATAACTTGCTACGATCAGCATGATGGGGGCTAGGATTCTGGTATGTTCAACACTTGGAACTCCAAAAAACCATTTAGATGCATATAAACAAGGATGTTATAATTATGGATTATCAACGGCGCAATTGTCTTTTAGCATTAAGTCATATTTGATGAAATATTATCACCAGGATCATCAGAGTCATCCTCTTGATCCAATGAAACATCGACGGATAAAATCAAAGTAGGAGAAATATCTTCAGGCTCTTGAGAACTGTCACCTTGATCTGGTTGAACACCAGCTGACAAGGTAGGAATATGGGAAGCATCATCCATATGTTCCGGAGTATCTGAGCCCTCCTCATTGGATTGTTCCGAGTTCATCCTGAATAAAATGTCACTTATGCTTAAAGGCTGTACAATTTCAAACTCATGTTCTGGTTTATGCTGCTGATTAAATCGGCCCAGGATCTTAACGGGAGATTTGTAGCATGATTCACATAGGTCAAAACCTATTTCCTCCACACAGTCTTTGCATCTGTATCTCTCCCCGATTATTGGAGACATCTGCAACAAATGCAGAAATTGGCATTCATTAAATGTGTTATCCAGCCAAAACAAACATACAGTGCAATTGCAAAATGATATACCATCCACTATCCACTAGGGTGGCAGCAAAAAGATAACAAGAGATTTTCCAGAGTCTGGTCTGGATGTAAGGAGACTAGGCTTCTATTGTTATGGTCATCTGCATTCAGTTTCAGTACATTTTTCTCCAATCTAAAATGTTGTAAATTCTCTTTCATCCTCCACCCCGACCTCTTAATGTTTATCAATTATTATTACTGAACTGTTTAAAATGGAAAGTTTTCCCCCTGACTTTCAAAAAATAGTTTATCAGAATCACTACAAGGCATCTTCTAATCCTAGTTGGCTAGTCCAAATTACCCTACTAAGCTTGCAACTAGAAGGGGGTAGAGGGATTTAAAAAATTTGTTACAGTAGAGGGCATTAGATGGATGTTTCATATTTTCCAGTAATAACAAGAAACTACCCTTCTAATAAAAGAGTTGCTCTGTTCATACAAATAATGAGATCAATAAAAGGAAACCTCCATATCTTCAATAATGTTTCTTCTAAGAACCAATTAGCCACTTTGGTAAAAATTACTGAATTTTAATCAGAGATAACAAAATAAAAAGATTACCCCACAATAATCACAGCCCACTCCAACATGAACTTTTGGTCCATTGCCCAAAAACCATGATGAGTAGATATCAGTAGCAATTGATGTTGTCCGGTTGGCATGTCGTTCAGTTTGTATTGAACCTGAGCTCAAGTTTAATGGCAGGAGTGAGTTCAGCTATAAACAAATAATTAAACATAAAGAAACAAAATGCATATCAAGTTCAAGCCTTTGGGGGCGTCAGTCACACAATACATTTAAACACACCTAGTTGTCAGGCTAATAATGCATGAAAAAGAAGACAGTCTCACACCCAACCCATCAAAAATGTTGCAATTGAGCACAAGAAAACAGAAAAACAAAGGAACTACATGAGACAGTTAGAGATTTCATTAGCATCCTTTCAAGAGAAGAGAAAAAGTTGAACATGACCAAGTCACACTGATAAATATTATGACTGCACAAGGTAGTACTAAATCTGTTTTGACAAGGACATGTTCTATGAGAGAGAGAATTTGTGTTTTAAGGAAGTGTTTAATATATTTATAGCTTGTTAACAGCTTAGTTACACCTCTTACTCAAGGAGAAGAGCAGCCTACAATCTAAATTACATGCTAAATCCTTAACCCCAGTAAGTTAATAGCTCTTTATAAGGTTTTCAAAAGAAATAAAGAAAAAGGAAAACATATTTCAAATTGAATCTTTTCTATAAGACAGGAAGGAATAGTTTAAATGATCATAGCACCCTAAGCATAACTGACGGTGAAAATAAATGATATGAACATCATAAATGATTCTGAGAGTAGGATACTGACAATTGTCTTTTTTGAGTAAGGCCCCTTGTCTTTCTGAATATTTCTCAGGAAACTGCTCCTCCAAGAAATGGTGTAGAATTAAACAAACACTTGCAAATCCATTTGGATGCAAGCTTTGACAAACTTGACACCTAGGGATTTCATCCTTTGGAATAACAAAACAAGATTCACAATATACTGCACCAAAGAGGAAACATATGTAAATGATTGACAATGGTAGTCCCTAACCCCTTTTAACTTTTGAGAAAACAGATAAAAGAAATATATACTACCATGGCCACAATTGAGAACCACTGGTCGAAAGAGCAGCCTCTTGCATGCAGGACAGAGTAAATCACCAACAGAAACCTTCTTTTGATCTCTATGTTCAAAATCATTTCTGATACAACTACTTCCTTGGTTGGGAGCATTTGCAGCATCTTCAGGGTTCTTCAAAGGTGTTGCCAGTTTAATTGGTTTGCCATTTTCATCCTGCACAGTTGATTTTGGTGAATCCCTGAATGAGGATGATTCCCCATTTTTAGAACAACTTTCTGAATACAAGTCTGTTTGGAGATGAGCAAGGGTATTGTTATTCCCCAAAATATCAGAATTCTCTGTAAACTGTGGTGCAAATAAATTTTGATCAAATTGAGGTGAGAAGTGGCCGGCTCTCTTCTCTTCTTCTGAACAACGAAAGAAGAAAATAAAAAAAATTGATATATGAGACATTAATAAATCAAAATAGATAAAGCACCAGCATCGTCCTCCCATTCTAGGGGAGATGTCAAATGGTCTATCTAAAAATAAAAATTCATAGTCTACTGTATCAACAGTGGCAGCAACATGCAAAATTCAGAAAACTTTTGAGAATTGAGCACCAAAGAAAATGAAACAGATCTCAACATCAACAAAGGAAAGTTTCAACCAGAAAATATAATAAGAAGAAAATTCAAGTGAGCATATATTATTTCCCCAATTTTGGATGGCAGAATTCTAACATGCAAATTTCTTTTCCCACAAGTTTCAATAGACCTCAAGAAGACCCGGTAAGAAGTTCCATCTACTACGCATCTTAAATATTCCCTCACATATTATTTCATACTAATGTATTAACAAAAAATCTGATTTCAGGATCAAATTAGTAACAAGAAAATAGTTGGCAATTCACATAATCACAGTGTATAAGCATCCGCAATGTTTGGAAGCCGAGTTAAACTTCATGAAAATCGAATCATTTGTTGCTACTACGAACTAGAGATTAAGTCCTTATCACAATAACCAATTTTCAAGCATCTGGTAAATTAAAAACTTCACTAAAGCTTTCAAAAGATTCAGTGCATTGACTACAAATTATAAAAGCAATTTTTTTCTTGACAAAACTAACAATTTGTAAACAGATTTTTGAGCACTTATCAGAATAGAGGAAAGAAGAAACAAAGGTACCTTGCACTTGTCTTTCCCTTTTCTTGTAGGCTATAGGATACAACTTCATGAGCAAAAAGTGCAGCAATTGACAGATACTTGGGAAATGATTGAATGGGCAACGACAAATAGGACAGTGGGACTCATGAAAATGATTCATTGCACTGTAGACACACCAGAAGCATGATAGGTGGCCACAGGCTGCAAATATGGAAAGCAAAGGCAGGTTACAGGTAAAATCACATATGAAAATGCAGTTCAACACAGTGCCTTCTTACCTAATACAACAGGCTTGTATAAGAGTTCCCTGTAACAGAGAAGGGAATTGCCTTCAAACAGGTTGCATATCCAAGGAAAAACAGCTTCAATAAACTAATAACTACGAGGTACCCACAAATTGTAAGAAGTTATACACCATTTAAGATAAATGATTAAACTATTAACTTCTGCTCATTGAATAGGTCCATAATTCATTTTTGCTTTATAATTTCCACAGAAAGGGAGAATACAAGTAACATTCAGCCTCTCAAATCCAAATCCTAGTCTCCTAATACACCCAAAACTCATTAGAACACCCACTGAATTCACCAAGAACATTAGAAACTCATACAAAAATGTTACTTGGGCTGGCTCATTCCATTTTGCTTTGGGGAAAGGCCTTTTTAACTTCAAGCTTCACAGAAATTAATGATATCCTTTAACATTTTCATTCAACTTTCACAAAGTTTTGACAGACGTGCACTTTCTTCAAGTGATTAGCCACTACTCGACCATAAAGTTGGTTCCAACACCAAAATTGGGAGAAGCATAATACATGAGAAGATAGTCAGATGCAGAATTTTGGGAGATGAATGCTGGCAAGTTTATTTTTATATTGAGATAAAAATCCACAAACATAAGCTCCTTTTTCAAATCTCAAAGAAGTCATCACTTAGACCAATAAATAGAGCTGAGGTGAAAGTAAGGCACTAAACATATCCGCAAAGATGCTATCAAGCTTTAGATAAGATCTTTTCCAAAATTTATTTATCTAACAAGTCTTATCCCTAGTCCTGAGCTAACTGATTATTTATAAACAAAAAACAGATGTAGCAAAATTAATCTCAAAATAAATCTCAAATTGGTATATATATATATATATATTTTATCACCACAAGACAAAGACAAAAGTCTCAAATCTCAATAATTCATAGTATCATAGCTACTGCATAGCCTACTTCCTAAATCCTAACATGAATTCGGAATAAGCATATATAACCCTGAGTAAAAAGTGCAGCTACAATTCCATAAACACTAAAAATTTACTATTAAACTCATAAAAAATTATATAAAATAATAAAAACAAATTTCTAAATAAAATTAATCCTTCCGATAGATTGTTATCAAACAACTTTACCCTCCCTCCCATATTAGATACTTCATCGAGAATTAAAGCGAGGAGAAAGGGGCAAGAACTGACAGGCAAACGCAACATTGGAACTCGTCGGGAAATTCCTCAGACGGAAGGTTATCGATTCGTTCTCCGTCTTTTTCTTTCTCTGTTTCCATTAGGGTTTCATCAATATTCACGTCGTTTTCCTTTTTTTCCATTTTCTGAAACAGGGAAAAAAAAAAGAAAAAGGAAATAAAATGATGTGAGCGGAAAGGGGAGGAAGGGAGGCGAAGGGAATTGTAGGAGAAGAAGGCAAAGGGAAATTTAATGCTCAGAGGTGGCCAACAATTTGGGCTGGCAAGCTGCTAGGTGCCCCTGCCAACAGAGACGTCTTTGCCTTAAGAGCTGGCTCACTGGCCTTACCTATTTGGGCTTCCCTCTAATTTGGACTTCAGCCCATTTCACACTCTGGCTTCACCGGCCTTTCCATTTCTTTTTTTTTTCAATAATTTTTATGTTTTAATTTGTATTTTTTTATAAAAAAAACCTCCGCATTAATCTAATATATCTTTCTCCTGTAGAAAGTAGTTGAGTGCACCTGCAAAGCCCATGCCCTCCATTTAATATATATATATATTATTTAAATTACATTTTCTTTATGTAGAATTTTCTAATAATAAACGGAAGGTGCACAAATTGCAAAACTAAAAAATTAAATAAATAGAATGCATGGGATGTAAATGTAATCCGCAATATAAATTTGCAATACAAAGTTTAACGAAACCATTCTGCTAAAAGAAAGAAATAAAATTAAAAAAAAAAAAGGTGACACGTTGGAAACACCACCATTTGGTCTGTTCTAAGTTATAACATAATATTTTTACACTTTGATAATTTATTTTCTTAACAGTAAACTCTACTGTCTAAATAAATGTACGTACAAAACGTCCAAACCTGAATCAAATCTCTTCTATATCAGAATAATCGCCAAGCCAGAACAAAATTAACTGTCTTTCAACATATTTAGTTAAATATAGCACTCAGATAAACCCACATTGCAAGACGGCCATCGATTACCAGAGGATACTGACATCCACCTTATTAAGCTAATGAAAATAAAAAAAAAAAATCAAATCAAATGAAAAGTATGCAGTGGATTTTCCATATCTTTCCCCTCTCACAAATCTTCCATTGCTGTTGAGAATTAAAGACACAGCAGACTTGTTACCCGAGAATTGGATCCACCTCAAAGCCCTGTGGAGTTATTTCCAGATTTTAACGGATTTGTCGTAACTGGCAGAGGCAACCATCCCTGTTACTTGTGACTGTGCCAGGGCTGATATCACGCATTCGTGAGCTGTTATCGTCAAACACTTATTCTCAGCCGTGTTCCAAAGCTCCAACGACTGCAAAAGAGAAGTTTAAAGGGAAGAGAAAAGAAAAGGAAATTAGCTATCGTGATATCTGTCATAGTACAACTTAGACTCTGTAAATAGTGGATTGCATATTCTATTAAGATCAAAAGATTTCATATTGTTCGCAAAATAAGTAGACAGCTATCTATGGAAATGGAAATAGAGCCATCAGCCATCAATAGTAACGAGTAGAGCAGTGGGTACAATGAATTGGTAAATTGAAATGAGCAATGGCAATGATATCAATTAGTTCTTGACATATCATCAGAAGAACAAGAAATGGTACCTGATATCCACCAACAACCAAGAGAGCAGGAAAGCCAGGATGAAAAACACAAGAATGAAACTTGTTTCCACTGGAATTGAGCTCGTGAATGCACTCGCCCGATGCCAGTGACCACACTCTGACAGACTCTTGACTGACAGATGCTAAAAAGTCTCCATTTGTATCCCAACAAACAGAGTGTACCTCTGACGAGTGCCCCTGGGAGTCATAAAAATACCAAAATTGATTACCTGAAACCTAAGAATGAAGTAATACACTCTTGCTTTACTAAATTCCAAATGTAACAATATTTCTACCTGCAGTAAGTGTATCCTTCTGTCAGCCTCTACATCAAAGATAGACACAACATTCTCTGCTGCTGCAGCTAGTAACTGTCCTATTCTTGGTTGAAATCTGACATTAGTGCTGCCTCCCTGCTTCATTTAGTGAAAGCAATTTAGATGACAAACCTCATAACCAAAGAAACTTCAGTACTTTAAAAAAGGACAAAGCTTAAGGATTTAGAAGGCTAGCCTTGGAGATACGGGTGTAGGAATAATGATTGATATTCCAGAAGCGAATCTCACTGTTACCATCACAAGAGCAGAAAAGTTCATTCTTCTTAGGGTGGAAGTCAAGGGACATAACTTGTGCTGTGTGCCCCGTACATTTCCAGATGCAATAACTTGGCTGAAAATGACAAAATCAAGTGCCCCTGGTATGTGAGCTATAATATTCATCAACATTTGAACAATGTAGAATTCCTAAGACTTTTCTATAATAGTAACAACTTTGCTTCTTGTCTTCCAGCAAACAATGTCAGTTTTGATGGTGTGAGCATTATTTCAGCATAGACAACAGGTGGAAAGTGTAGTCTATATAAACCTGAAGGAAGACTGACACAAAAGAAACAGGCAAAGGGGGACAAAAAAAGAGAATTACACACATAAATGGAAAAATAAAAGAGTGAGAAGATATACTTGTGCAGCATCCCAAACTCGCACTGTTTTATCAAAAGAAGATGTTGCCAGCTGAGTGGAATTTGGTCTGAAGCGAATATCAGTTATAAAATGAGTGTGTTCCTCTGGTGTGCATTCAGTTTGCAGAGTTTCCATGTTCCAAAGAACAGCCTACTGACAAGAAATAGACAAGCATGCACATCATTCTTCCATACTTCCATTAAAGTCCATTTTTTGATTAATCATAAATATTCTCACAACTGTACTTCTGAGGATCCAAGGAATTTACAAAAATAAAAGTCAAAATAACAACAATAAATGATAATTTGAATTTATGTGGCATATTACATAAAACAATCCATACATTGCATGCTGCAATGCATTATACCTTCTTGTCATGACCAGCACTGGCCAACAGCTTTCCATCTGAAGAGAAATGACAGCAGGTGACTTTGCTATTGCTTTTACGTATTGAACCAACTTCATTGAAGCTAAAACCTGAAATGCAGAAAACAGGTCATTGTTTTGGTCAACCTGAACAATGAGGCTGATGAAAGCATGAGATCAATTATTACCCTTTGAAGTCTCACTGGCATGTTCAGAAGGGTTTCGTTTTAAGGTGCCAAACAAATTGCCTCCATCTCCATCATCATGTGAGAGAAAAGATTCCACATTGTCATCCAAGGAGCCAACATCCCCAAAATGTTCCATGTCTTCCTGCAATTAGGAATTATATCATAAGCAGTACTTTGAAATGCCTTATTCAAGGCTACACTTAAGATACACACTCCAATTCTGACAGGAAATTAAGTGCAGGGCAGCATGAGAAAAGGCAAGGCAGATGAATTACAAAAATGGAAGAATAATAGTGAAGAAACAGGGGCTATTGTCCAGGTTTATTTGCTTGATCAGAATATTCAATCACACTTGACTCTGAACAAGAAAGAAAGAAAGACAAGTAAGAATGAGAAAGAAATAAAAAAACAACTAGATATCAAGAAACAAAACCCCGATGAAACTTGCTAACAACAAAATTTCATTTAGAAATGGTCAACACTGCCATATTCTTCAACGAGAGCATTAGGATCTTTTCATAGCCTTAAGCCTGTATCAAATTATTTCCCTAGGAAACAAAACATGGCAATCTGTTAAGCCCTGTCAAGAGCCCAACTCAAGAGGACCAAAATACCCAAATAATTTCAATACTATAGCATGAACAGCTCCTGAATGAAGAATGTCATGAATAGCGTACAATGCTGTATTACAACACCTAGATTCATCTTTAACCATTCAAACAAAAACAATAAATTAAAAATCCTACAAATTGAAAGACTTAAAAACAAGTTATCTAAATTCTTAACAATTTCCACAGAAAAATCGTGTTCAAGCAAAGGATATTGTGCCTCCATCCATGTCACATCTATGGCATCAATACTTCAGCCAATATACAGAAGCAACTCTTAAACATGGCAAGCAACATACACCACATCATTCTCAAGACATTAAGCAAGGATATTCACAATAGTGATCAACATTACCAGCAACTCTAACTTGCATGAAATGCGATGAGAAGGGCATCGTGGATCAAAGTTTCAGATGTTAGAACACAATATTCCATCTTATATAATCCAAACCATAGAATGCTTGAATATAAGCTTTTTCTATCACTTATTCATCATTTTTTAACAAGTAGATCAAAAGCATTTTATTTGGTGGTTAATTAACTCTGACAACAGCAAGAAGTATAAGAAGTTGGTCATGCCTGGTACATCCACAAGAATGCACATAATAATGGTCATAAGATGGGGATTATCAAATTTAGAACTTCACTGGCTTTCCAAGACCAATGATAATTTGCTGAGTACTCCATAATAATTTTGCATCCAAAAGTTTTATGCAAGCTGCATGAATGTGGGAATGCTTTGGGGTTCTAAGTATTGCAGGTTCAAAAAGTTTACCACCAATGCACGAGTTGGCTATAAACTAGGACTACATACCAGCTGGTTGGTTGATGATGCAATACCACCTGTTCCATCAGATCCATACATCATCAAATTTTTTGACATGGTACTACTGTGCTGCATATTGCCCACCATGGCCACTCCATCACCAGGTGTATGAGTTGATGGGGTTGATGGCTGAGAGTTAGGGGAAGGACCCACTGTGTTTCCGGTACCAGTACTATTAGCAGGTCCAGAAGATGAAGGCCCTTTTCTTTTCCGGTTATTCTAACACACCATACAAGTAATAGTCGTCAATTTACAGGACAAGGAGGGAATAAAAGATAAAGCATCAGGAAATGTTCCCATAACAAACTCATGTGAGTTTTTTGGAAGACCAGCTGTGCTGTAACAAGAAACATTGTGATAACCAAGAAAGAAAACATAAATAAGCTCAACCTGTTGCACTTGCTGCATCTGCAATGGGTCTTGTTGAGAGGATGATTGTCTTATTGGTGGCATGTTCATCTGCTGAAAAACCACAAAAAGGCTCAAATGAAATTAAGCACAACGAGCATTGACCACTCTTAACCAACTTTATAACAATTAGGACTTGTCAAGAACTACTTAACTAGTGCGACCATCATTATATGCCATACCAAAATAAAGTTTACCATAAATTTAAAGAGAAAAAGTATAAAATATGCACCAAACAACTGAGTGGCATGTAGAAGAGTAATGGCATGCATACTATCTTGGTTATATAAAGGCACGGA